TCAGTGTTTCGATAATTTAGAACCAAACTGTGAATTTCCAGGATTATTGAATCAATTTGTCAGCGTGTTTCCTAACTGAAACACGTGATGTCATTGTTAAAATACCAAAACTGATTTGAAGATGGAGTATTTAAAAAACTATATATAGGGAAATATTGCTTTCTGCTCATTGAATCACTGCCATTTAGGAGTGAAAGTTGTTTTAGAGGCTAGCTGATCTGGCCCCATCCTATGTGAGGAAGGAAAGGACTTACAAACATTAGATGACTTGTCCTCACTCACCAGTTAGCCGTAAGCTCAGAACTCTGGAGCTAGTACCTGGTTGCTGGTTGCTGTATTTACTGTTAAGATGTTTGTCCTCAATTTTTCAGAACCATTGGTTATAACTTATTTTATTTGTTTTTGTAACGATGACATAAAATGTAGGGTCATTTTCATAATAAGTGTTCACCATCTGTTCTGTTTTCAGGTGGAACATGAGAAATATTGTGACCAGTATCGCTTTGCTAGGGAGCAGCAAAGGGTCCTGTTATCAAATTGGAATAAGAACAGGAAGGACTTTATACAGAAGGCTCTGCTGGCCCTTCTGGAGGCCTGTGCAGCTCATGAAATGGAGAGCACATTGGCTGAGGACAGGAAAAAGCAACAGGCATTGTGTGCTGATCTGAAAGCCAAGGTGAGCTGCCTCACGGAGGTGTTTCAGTATTTACTTGGCTATTTAAGAATCAACTTTCCCCTTTTGTTCAAACCCAACCTAAAGCTCAGTTTCTCTAAAAAGACTGTCTTGGATAACACTGTTCAATTGAGCCATATGAAATTTCAACTCTTTTAGGTCAAAAATCATCAGTAATCAATGATTTCATATGGTTCAACCTAAAGTTACTTATAGTAACAGGATGTTAACAGTGAAGTTTTGATTGAAAAATCCAACACCAACCATAGACACTGCACACCAGAGAGAGGTCCTGGGCAGAAATGCCTAGTGTAATTATAAAGTAACTGTCTGATGCTGATTCAAAGACTCTTCGACCTCTCATCACATCAAAGATATAAAAAAAAGTCAAGTTATGATGAGGAGAGAGGATTTGAAAGAGATGTTGGGGCAAGCTTGCTGGGCTGTGTGTGAGCCCTTAACACAGATGGGGTTGTCCTCCTCCTCGGACCCTGTGGCAGGCCTCCAGGAAGGCTTGGAGAGCTTAGTGGGTGACCTCTGTAGTTGGGAGGATTGAGGACTGGTGTCTGATGCTTACAGGATGATAAGAGGAACTGCCACAGTGGCAGGACTGAAAGCAAGAGTGGCCACTGTGTTGGGAGCAATTGCATCCCCAGGTGCGTGAGTCCTGGAGGCCCGATGCAGATATAGCTTCCCTAGGAGAGTTGGCAGGGGCCATTAAAAACAAACTGTATTGGGCCGGCCCGGTGGCGCACTGGAGAGTGCGCCACTTGGGAGTGCGGTGG